AATTCTAACTTCTTGTTTCTCGAGTCAAGAGATAGCTGCCTTGAAACCATCAAGCGGAGCATCCGTCTGAAAACCTGTGGGTTGCCGATTTACTTTACGGCTGTCCTTTTTGGGCTTGAGGTTTCCTCTGCTTTCCTCGATCTCTTTGGGATTTGTCTTGTTTCTATTGAATTGGCCAGCACGTTGAGTCAGCTAATTCGTTGAAACAGGCGCGGTTGAGTTTATGAAACTGTTGTTTTGTTGTGTCACAACAGTTTGGTTCTGAGGGACAACTGTTGATTGACCCTGTGTAGTCTCTTGTATACTCTGCTTGGTTCGGTGTATGGCCGGTTCAGGCTGATTGTTGTTGCTAGTCTTTTTTGGATTCGCGGTGTGGGNAAAGCACTCCTCAGAAGCGACGATATACCTTTATGGTTGGGTGGTGTTTTCCGAGTAGCGTTGGTTGGTTGACCCGGTGGGGACTTCAGTGACGACTCGCTTACGCGTAGCGTTTGCCCTTGCATGTCCCCACCATTATCCAAAGAATTATGGTTGCCTTTTAACGCAGATTTCGCAATCTCTCGGCATCCTTGGCAGATCCACAGATCTACGTAGTTGCTGTATAATTTGAATAGCTCGCTTGAGAGCTTCGAGCAAGTTTTGTATGCCCAATGCTCACATATGCTGCATTCTATACCTGTGACCACCCGTCTACCACACGATACCATGATAAGACACACGTGGCATGTCAAAAAAGGCTATGACAATCGGAAAACAATTAAATATGTTACCATCAGCTCTAAAAGAGGTTACGCAATGTATAAGGTGTACGAAACACGACGGTCAAAATGAGAAAAGCGTTTAACCTACTACAAGTACAAAATAGCAACGCTAAAATAAAGACCCTAATTGTGCTACTACAATAATATAGGCTAACTAAAGATTGAAATATGCATGACTGATCTACCACGACAAGAATTCGAACCACGCGGTCAAGGTCAAGTTCAGCACGCAGTATTCTAACTACGGTCTCATAATGGCCTGATATAGAGGTAAGGAAAACTCTACTTTCCTTGACGACACGACCGCCTTACGCTGGAACAGCTGCCCCTCGCGTTTTGTGCAGCGTCCAGGCACTGATCACTGGGCTTAAAGTCCTCGGACCGAAATTTCCAGATTCAGCGTTCGGTGTACTCGAGCTAAGATCGTCGGATTTGTGGTCGTAGCCACTCGAACCGGAAACCCTACGGTGTGAAAACACGATACTTGGTGGCGTTTAGCTCCAAGTCCCACTTCCGTCCACGGGACAACCTTAGCCAGATCAGCTGCTATTTGATTTACAGGTCCTGAGTTCACTAGTTTTACTACGTCGGCAAAGATGAAGACATAAACCGCTAGTTCATGGATCATGCCATCAACAGCAGAGAGAGCTTCGGGCCTAGCACAAGGTCATTAGGCACTGCACTGGATACGCAGCCGACGCTGGACAGAGCTTTTCCCACCCGAACTCTACAGGTTCCATTGGTGAGGAAAGCTTCTATCTATCTAATTCAGTTGAGTGTAGTTTGCACAGGACAGAAAATGGCCACGGCCAACCGAGCGTCCAGAAATTTTCGGTGTTATGCGGTCAAGTATAACACCCACCATTGTGAAAAGTAATCTCCAACTTTCCGACTGAAAAGGGGAAGAAAAGGGAAAGATACCTTATCTCACCCACAAGGCGAAAGATTAGTATACGTAAGCGTTCATCTTCCAGGCTGCATCCCAATAAATGGCAGGACAAAAAAGCATACAACCTGAGGGTTCCGCTCCTACTCTTGATTTTCTTAATCCGCCAGATGGATGGTCAGACCTCCATTTCAGGAACAAGTTCAGACCATCGTTCGTCCAGGGTGGCCTTGAATGCTATCACGGTCTGCAGTTCTACTAGCTCCGCAGGTAGTTCCAAATTTTGACTACCCTGTTGCTGAAGAAGTGTGACATGGCGATCGATCGAGACCGAGCTTTGGCTAGCTTCATTCTGTGTCCCCTTTTACGGGAATCTAGCACTTCCTAGAATAGGGTTTCTGGTGCAATACCAGATAAGCTTTTCATTATCTTAAATGTTTCTATCATATCTCCCCTGAGCTTTCTCTTTTCTAACCAGAATATTTCCAGGTCCTAAAGCCTTTGCTAATAGTCTTCACCTCGCTGACCCTCAGCCATTCTCGTTGCCAGCCGTTGAACCCGCTCTAAACAGGCAGCAGTTTTTTTGAAGCAGGGTGACCATGCCTGGGCACAGTATTTTAGTTGGAGCCTTACTTTGGCCTTGTACAGAGGAATAAATGCCTCTGATGTGCGGTACGACAACCCTGACCTTAGTCTAAATAATTCACCCCTTTTGTATCGCTTTGGCACATTGATTCGACCACCTAAGATCACCGGTTACCAAGATTTCTAGGTATTTAACATTTTCCGCCACCTCCAAATTAAAGGGGCCTACCTCGTGGCCAACGGTGATACCCTCTACTGCTCGTGATAGCAGTTGGCTTTTGCCATCATTCATTGGTATTTCCCACTTGAGGGCCCATCTTAGGACTGCTGCAATACCCCTGGCAGAATCCTCTAGCTCCTCTGATCCTACGACTTTTACATCGTCTGCGAAGAAAACGCTAGGTGACTGGAGCGTTACGGCTAGGTCATTCTTATTCCGTACGAATAAGATCTCTGAGGACCTCCACTAATGATGTTCCTCAGGCTGCAATTGAAACCACCTACTCTTACGTGGAAAGATCGCTCACATTAGAAGTCAGATATCCAGCCATACGTCTTCCCCTTTATACCAACGGTTTTCAAATTGATCAGCAGTAGACGATGATTCACAGAGCCGAACGATTTACTGAAGTCAAGGTAGCATACCTTTACGCTTTTGCCTTCATCCAACCTGCGAGTTACTTCATCTAAGGAGCACGAGAGATTGGCGAGACACGACTTGTTTTTTAGGAATCCATGCTGAGTAGGGTACAGCACAGAATGGTCTACTAGTTGCTTACAGATATGGACCCTGATGAACTTTCCCAGCACCTTGAAAAGAATGTTAATCAGGCTTACCGGCCGATAGTTGCTTACTTCTGACCTGAGCCCCCTTTATGTATGGCGACCATGGCGGCTGTTTCCCAGTCCCACGGTAGAATACCTTGTTCTAGGCTTAGCTTAAATAGTTGACAAAGTGATCGAGCTAAGATGCCCGCTAATGGTTTCACAATCACTGGGTAAATGTCAACGGGACCAGCCGAATTGTTCATGTTTGAGCTCTATAGATGATTCCTAACCATATCCTCCGTTAGACGCAAATCGTCTATAACTACCGGAGGAGTTGCCGGAGGAGGTGTTGAGGGCATACTGTTGTCCGTACGATGAACGCTGCTCAAGTAGAGACCTAGTGTGTCCGCTTTGCAGTTGTCGTCTGCAGCAACGGATTGCCCTCCGGTCTTCAGTAACCCTACGCCATCCCTGTGTCCTTTTGGATTGTACATACCCGTGATATTTCCTAGGATGGCCCTTGGCGCATTTGGCCGGCCTAAACTCATATTTGTGTTTTACTGTTTGCACCACGTCGATCGCTGCGTTCCTGAAGGCTTTGTAGCGCGGCCAAGCTATGCGGGTCCCAGAAATTTCGTACAAGTGCCAACTTCAACTTCCACGCTTGGTGGCCTTGTCTATCACCGCTCGCCACCAGATCGGTTTGGTTGGGTGCCATCTTAGTTTCAACGGCGCGAATTCGTCCTGGAGTATGTGCAGTGATTTCTTAATTACTCCCAATAGCCCTACGATACTGGTTACTTCGTCGTCCCAGGGTAGTTGGGCTACTGTGCTACGGTGGAGATCTGTGCTCATGGCTCCAACGTTTCTAGCTATTTTAGTGGTAGCGTTCGGATGCTGCATGCTGAATGTAAGTCTCATGGATACATGATCACTCTTACCTAACGGTGGGAGTGTTTTGAGATACTACTCACTTGTGAGTGGTGGGTAACCTTCGATGACCAAAAATATAACAATACCATCAAGGGCCAAGTGATATGTTTGGAAGAATAACTATTGACTGCTCTATACATTACCAGGTGTCTCGGAAAGAATTGCGTTCGCACGTTTCTGATTAAGATTTTGTGTTATGCATGCAAACCTACTGACCTCCCATCTGAACTCCTCAATAAAGAACTATCCTCGACCAACACCGTCTATTGGAATTGTGACAGTGGTAACTTCAAACCAGTGATATCCGTAGGGTACTTCTTAATCACCTGATCCAGTAGTGAGTGTGGTAGCCCATCCTGCATCTGGTGTTCTCTTTCACGTTTTGCCTCATTACCTTTTTATGAGGCCGCTCCAGAAATGCCTCTTCCTGTGTTCTTGATGGGCTCGTTTTAAGCTCCCAATCTATATTTAGTATGTCGAAATCACCCACTATCAGAGTCTTGTCAGGTTCCTTCACTAGGTCTGTGAGGACTCGAAGGAGATTAATATCCTCTTCACGACTCGAACTAGCGGACCGGTAACCTCATGTCACGTTCTCCTTACTCTTCGGAAGGATCAGTGTGACAGTGCATACTTAAAGATTCCTGGTGCATACTCGGACCTGGGATTCGAGGTGGCTTATGCCCTCCCTAATGAAGATGGCTACTCCCCCTCCCAGATAGTCATGCTCTCTATCCTGTCTGTAAATTGCATAGTGCTCCTGAAAGACTCATGGTACGTGGTTATTTTCAGATGACCAAGTTTCGGTGACCGCAACCACCCCGGCGACGCATTTACCGACTACTTTAAAAAGCTCCATCCATTTGTTTCGTATTCCCCACGTATTGGTGTACAACACCACTTCTTCACTATAAAACTCGACCAAGATTGGCCGCGCCATGGGCGTCCCGGATTTCGCGAACTGGGATATCCATACACCAGCTCGGTGGACCCTATTAAGAAGAACGGGGAGTGGGACCATTACTATTCGCAGTATGTCAAATACTCGCCTTCAATCAATTTCCCTTCGAGCCTTAGACTGCCTAATGAGAGCAATTGCTGAAACCTTGCATCTTTTGGATAGGCTTCTTATTGCTAGCCACAGAAGTTTTCCATTTCGGCTTTGAAACCACATTTTGCGTTGTGGTATATGTAACTTTTAAGTGGAACTGAAATTAGCTAACGGACGGTCCCCTCCTGAGTTCAGTTTGCAATTTCCTACTGCTTTCTTGGGTGCAATAGCAGCATACCACAGTATCGGTGCAGTCGTGCGTGCTGTGGGAGGGCTTTAATGCTTGCAGATTTCATGTGTCCCAAAACGCTCTGCCTGTTTTAAACTCCCAGGGTTGCTAGTACGACATTGTATGCGGATACACTAGGCCCACTAGTGCTGCCGGTAGAGCGTATATAGTTTTCTGGGCACCCCTGAGCACTTCGGATGGGCCCATCTTTCGCAGAGTTCCATTGGATACCCCTCGCAACTCTCGAACGTAGCTAGAGGACAGGCAGTTGTCGGATGCCAGCGACACAGATCAAGCGGTTACTATCAATACCACAAAAGGCGAATAAAACAAAGTAAACTTCTACCTGCGTGTATATTTGTTGTCTTCGCATGAGACAAACAAAAAATATACATACCTTTGAGCATAACGCTACCCTATACAAAAAGGAAAACCACGGTCTTCTTAATGAAACCCGAGGAAGAAACGATATTTTTCTAGTGACAGTTGCATCTTGGGAATACCCTGGTACGTACAAAAACAAAAGTACAATGGCAAAAGGTTCACTTCATTTATAGCACTTCAAAAATTCAAACCCCGCGGTTAGAGCTGTTTAGAGACCACAGCCCTTGAGCTTTATTAGTAGGAGCCGGTGATTTACCGAGGCGAAAGCTTACCTGAAGTTCCGGTAGCACACTTCGATTTTCTGATCTCCATCTAATCCCCTTGTAACTTCGTTCAAGAAACAAAAAGGATTGCTCAAACACGACCTCCTTTTGAGAAAGCGGTGCTGGGCAGAGCCAATTAACCTATGTTAAATGACGTGCTCACAGAGAGCATTCCAAACAATGCTTCCTAAACTCTTACACAGCACGCTGGTCAAACTTACGAGTCTGTAGTTACCATGTTGCTTCCTATCTCCACTCTTGTGGATGGCTACCCTTGTGGTAGTTGCTCAACCCATAAGTACTCTCCCAGCTCTTCTGGTCCCCTGATAGAGTGCGGTAATCGCAGGAGCGAGCGAAAGAGCTGGTGGTCTGATGACATCTCGGTGTAGCCGGTCGCTGCCAGCAGACTTGCTGCCGTTCAAGCTCTCCAGGACCTTAAGAACACTACTAGCTGAGACTTCCACATCGCCAATTGGGGCATTGTTTAGACACTCTCGTGGCACCGCACGCCCGTCGTCTAATTTATAGACGTTTTCAAATTACCTCCTGAGGGTCTCACATTTTTCGTAATCTGAGACAGACAGCCCACCTCCGGGGTTCTCCAAAGTGCCTACTAATTAGCTTCGTGCAGTCTTCGATTGCACGTAGCTATATAACCTCTTGGGTTCCTGGCGCCCTCTCTTGGCGATTTTCACCTCGAAGTTCATTTTCGCCTGTTTTACTAGCTTTTTTGCATAGTTTCCCGCCTTCTTATATAATAATAATAATAATGGCATATTTCTCGGATTACAACGAGAGACATG